AGAACGGCAAAAAAGCAATAGGTTTAGACAAGCAAAACAACAACTTTGCACGTGCATCAAGCTTTTTTGTACATTTCTCTGCCGTCGTTGGAAGACTACAACGTGAAACTGCCTAATTTCACATTTTGTCAAGGACGGGAACAAAAGACGACAACTTTCTTTTTCTTTTCCTGAACTTTGATGCAGTCGTTTGAGAATTCAACTACAAAAAAAATGCCAACATTTGACGAATTAAACGAGATGGAATAAGCGCGATAAAGTTCGCTCCAGGGCAAATTCACTTTTTAAGTGACGTTTTCGTAGTCGTCGCCGTCGTCGTTGCGTAAACTTCTTGATGACGATTTAAGAACGAGACTCAAAATTCCCTGCTGATGACCCGGATCTGGGTAGTGCTATTGATTGGTCGAGCCGTGAAGGAAATTTGCTTCAATCAATCAATAAAACTTTGCAAGGGCGCCATAAACCTGTCATGCACTGGAAAAATCATCCCGTAACATTATTTTGGACTTAATTTTTTATTAATTGGTCCAGAGAGAAACAATGTTTTTTTTTCCTTTTTTTCCCGGTAAAATGTGTGCATGAGAGGAAAAAGCACGAGAGCCTTTAAGTGAAACAAATTTACCCATATGACAATAATATATTGTTTACTATTTCCCTGATAACCCATGTGCCTGCATATCTCTGCTTACAGTCGCACCTTGATACATGCATATGCGCATGTGCGTACAGTATAGTAGTTACTTTAGTAAAGCATCAGCCCTTGCATTACCACGTTCAATGCTACAAGACCATCACTTCTTAGAGTCTCTGTAAAGAAGGGTACCGATCCCGCATTCCCGCTCCTTTTTCCCTAGAATCCCGAATGTCTTCGCTGTCCCGAAAATCGTTTTCTTCCCAATCCAGGGTGCATTGTGCCCACACTTTAGCAAATCCCGCTTTCCAGATAACAGTCAAATTGTGTATCCCGTTAACATTTCCCGAATCCCGCTCTGTATTTTGGCCAAATCCCGGATCCCGAGAGTATCCTTCCAGACCCTGTTTTCTATTACTCACACTTGACACTGTTTGATTTCAGTTCGCTACTTTCCCTACATCGATGATGACGGTCTTTGTGATGACTCTAGGTGAGATGAGCTACGAAGACCGATTTATGCCCTGGGATAGCCTGGAATATGCTACTCTCGCCAATATTCTGTTTTTAATGTTTGTGCTTGGAATGCCTATCATCCTTATGAACATGTTGGTAAGTAGACTGTTATAACACGAGAGAACTAAAAGTTCTAGACTTGAAGTTAATCTTAGTATATGAGCTGTAAAAGTAAATTAACCGCGACTTGTGCTGATCACCCTTTCACTAGCTACACCTTGGGGTCTTTTGAACGACTTATAGTCTTCTTCCTAAAAGGTTTTCTTAGAAAGGTTTCTCAAAAACTAAAATACTGCGGCTTTGTAAACGCTAACGGTCCTTGGTATTCTTGTTGTTGTTGTTGTTGTTGTTTTATCTTTTTCTTTTTCACCCCTAAATCATGCAATCGTCTTTGTACCTAATAAACTCCCACCAGTAAGGGAAAATTTGTGCCATCGCATGAGACATTTCTCTACGAGCTTTATTTATCGTTTAATTCTTCCAATTTTAGGTAGGTCTTGCAGTTGGAGACATTGACAAGATTCAGGCACACGCAGCGATTGATCGATATATGATGCAGGTATAATAGAAGATGATGATAATAAACGCACGGAATAATGTTGATTTAAAGGTACCTTTCATTGGTCCAGCTAATGTAGTAATCAAAGCTTGAGCCACACCCAGACTGCGCGGCTGGTGTACTTCATGGGGCTTGGTTCTAGTCTTCCCTAAAAAATACGTCCGGGTATACTCAGGATAACAAATTTGGCGCCACTTATGTATGATCACTTTTGCATTGCCTTGAACGTGATTTGAGCTATTATGAGGACCCATATATTGGGAGCAGGCCAATTTGTCGAGTTGACCTTAACCCGTGAAAGGAATGAAATACAGAATGATGATGTGAACTGCCGAAATACAAATATTATATGAGGATATGATCGTCGCAGTGGTAATTGCAGTTTAATGTTTCATTCCTTTCACGGGTTAAGATGAACTCAACAAATTGACCTGCTCCGAACGTATGGGTCTTCATAGTTCAACTAGTTACAACACTGCCGCGCTAACACAGCGGCCATTGGTTCGACTCCAGTTGAAGTCCTGCTTATTTTTTTCGGGTAAATTTGCAATTGCTTAAATTGCAGTTACCAATGCGACGATTATATCTTCATTTAAAATTTGTATTTCCCCAGTTCAAATCATCATTCTGAGTAACATCTTCCTTCTCTCTCTCTCTCTTTTTTGCCTTTTTTTTTTTCAGGTGGAATTAGTGTTGGATATGGAAGAGATGCTTCCTGCATGTCTAGCGAAACGGGCTCATGTGACAAAACAAGTCGTGTATCCAAACAGAGACGCATCCAAGGTATGAGTAGTAACATTCATCCGATTTTTCAAAGTCGTGAACTTATCCCCATAGCTTTACGTAGCTATAAAGAAAGACTGAATCTACATGTACAAAATCATCTCAAGGAATGGAGCGAGGGAGCTCTGACTTGAGAATAATTTATCGCCTTCAGGGACTTTAAAGTAAAATCACTCAATCTGACTGAAGTTATCACTAAAACTAAAGCAAGATGTTGAATTATTTTTGCATACCTTCTATTGTGAAATACAGTCTCATATGAGGTATATTTTCACACGCATATTCTAGCTTAGCCATAAATTATATCTGACTAATAACTTGCAGCAATTTTAATACTGTATAAAACCGAAACTACAAGAAGTTTTCATGATGGATAAATTTGGATACAAATAGAGGCCTTTACATTTGATTATTTTCTCGAGGAAAATAACTTGACAGCTTTCGGCCAGGTTTTGCTAGTTTTGTATCATAGTGCAATGAAATTAATGTATCACTACTAGTGTATTTGTTTATTCATTTGTTCGAGTGATGTCTTCTTTAGCTGTATGACAGGTTCTTGGGCTTTAGCCCACCTGGAGACGAGAAACAGGAAGACGAAGCCTCCCCTGAGCACATGCCGCTGCTGGATAAAATGAAGGAACAGGAGGAGAGGTAAGAGTTTACTTGTTAGTACTAGAGAAAAATTCTCACAGATTTGAGGGAGATCGTAAAACAAGTTATCACTACAATTATAGTCCGGACATCGAAGGCACAGAGCTACTACCTCGTCCACAGTCACTTGCGATCAAGTAGTTTTGGGAATATTTGTGTTAGTTATTAAGGAAGCGGAAAGCGAAAGAAGTCTTTTTTCCTTCCAATCGCACCCCGCTCGCGCTCTGTGCTCGTTCCCGCCTCCCCTCTCGCACTTCTACCTTAATGTCTCCAGCTCTCGTGCTTCTCGCTTGGTCCGTGCTTCCCAGTTAACGTTGGGAAAGCCTTGGAGGAGGTAGACAGAGCTAAATGTCCGCAACACACAGCTGTCCGTTTTATACAGGTAAAGATTGTATAACTTTTATCTTTGAAACCAGCTGAAACCAAGAGAATTCTACCTAAAGACCGATTCACACGGTGCGACTTCAGTGTCGAGTGTATGTACTTTCGATAGACCTCCAACGCAAATCGTACCCTGTAAATCAACCTTACGATAGTTTCAAAACGGTTGTAAGTGAATACAACTTGCGTCGTTGGATTAGCGTTAGCACATTGCTTGCGACAAAAATGTGCCGTTAAAATTGGTCTTAATAGAGACACATTTTGACTACCTTTTGACAGTCTTTGGTTACAGCCGCTTGCTGTGGGTAAGAGGTATGACGTCACAGTTAACATAGGTTTGAGCTCTTTTTATTGCTTAGATCATTCTACTAGAGTACGGGGGGTCGTGGGTTGGAATCTCACCTGGAGCCTCGATTTTTTCTGGGTTTTATGTGGTTGATTCTCACCTACGTGATTTTCTAATTTAAAAATTATTTGATTCATTTTGTTTTATTTATTCAATAGAATCAATGGGATATACGAGTTATTAAAGGAACAGTCAGCAATTTTAAAGTCTTTGGATCCCGCCCGGAAGCGAAAAGGACAAGACGTGTTCCCTTTTGGAGTGTAGCTGCCAAAATGGAATCCCAACATCATTTCATATCAGCTGTTAGCTACATTTAACGGCAGATATTAATGTCAACCCAAAAACTGATCCTGATAGAGACATGAATTGGGCAATCAAGCTTGTCATTCAGTTCCAGTTTTCTAAAACTATAAAGGAGAACGAGTTTGTTTATCAGGGACTGACGTATGGTTTATGTAACCCTAAAGCTTTCTTTGCCTACAAAAAGTGTTCCGCGAGTATTGAACTACGCCCGGAAATATCAGTTATACCAGGGTTAGTTTGGATTTAGCACATTCTTGTACAAGTTATAAAAAGCAAAAAGACTTGATTGATTAAGTTTCCGTACAGCGAAAACATTTCATTACGAAGACTAAAATATTTACACAAGAACCAATTTTGTTCTCATTTTGCCCAATATACCTTATTATAGGAAATTAACGCTTCATTTCAATTAACGCGAATCGTTAAAGTTCGCGTTAATTTAACTCGCGTTAATTTTGTTGAGCGTTAATTTCCGCGACGTTTACGTTTTGGCGCAGCGTTAATTTCCGCGCTCTTAATTTCCAGTATTTTAACCCCAATTTTGGAGCCTGTCCAGACATTCTTGACACCTAAACGACATTAACTACAACATTTCCTCCTTTCCATTTACCCTTTATTTTTCATCTTTCGCAAAAGCTAAGGCAAAGGTTTACAATATTTCAAGTTCATCTTCACCGTTGTCGCTCTCAGAAGTGATGTCAGCTCAGTTTTGAATTTTTTTGCATCCAGTGTTAAAATAAATTTGTTCCAGTTGTCACCACCAACTGTGTCTAAATCGCGTTGATTTCCTTTATTATGAAACTCTACCACCTCTTTCGCGTTAATTTTCTTTATTCGAAAGTCGTTTTCCATTAAATTCGCGTTAATTTAAGTCGCGTTAATTTCCAATACCTTAATTTCATGGAGCGTTAATTTCCTATAAGAAGGTAAGCCGCAATACCTTAGTTGTTACATTCTTTGCTAAGCGGGTAAACAGGAAGTTTCGAAATGCTAGGATGGTATATTAAGCGAAACTCCTACAATGTACGATAGACAAGTTATTCCCTGTCGTTCAAAACCTCGGGTTATTTGTTGTATCTCTGACCATATCTATGCTTGAAATCTTTCAATAAAGATGGCTACTTATCCAAAGTTATCTTCAGTTGTTACTGCTATTAATTGTATCATTTTGGCTTTGGGAACTGAAATGTTTGAACAATTGGCGAGAAAAGGCACATCAAGAAAACTTAATCCTCTAAAATTGGTCACTTTTTAGTTAGACGCAAGTCCGTTCCCATCTCCACAGAATTGTTATTATGCAAAGCTAGGTATACTACAAAAATAGTTGTCTAAAACTGCTACTACTACTACTACTACTACTACTACCACTACCACTACCACTACCACTACCACTACCACTACCACTACCACTACCACTACCACTACCACTACCACTACCACTACCACTACCACTACCACTACCACATACCACCACTACCACCACTACGACTACCACTACGACTACCAATACTACCACCACTAGTACTACTCCTATTGCTACTGCTACTGCTAGCTACTGCTGCTGCTCCTTCTAATAATAATAATAATAATAATAATAATAATAATAATAATAATAATAATATTTATATTAATTGAAAACGTTTTAGATGAAAATTGAGGCTAAAAAGGGTAAGTCCACGATTAAGGTCAAAAATGTGATATTTCTTTCGATCTTCTCAAGCCAGAAAAGACCTTTTTTGGACATTCTGAATAAAGAAGAATGCTTTTTAGACCAGAAAAGTGAAGCTTTAAAATAGTCCAAGAAATAGCAATTTTTCCAAAGGAGTTAGTCCAAGCTTTTTGTCAAAAATTTAAACTTTTTTTCAGCTGTGTTTCTGGGGAAATCAGGCCAGAAAAGATCGCTTTTGGATATTTTGGAAGGAAAAGAACGCTTTTTAGACCAGGAAAGTGAAGTTTAAAAAAAGTTCAAAAAACTGAAATTTTCCCAATTGTCAACAATTGGAACTTTTTAGCAATTGTGTTTTTTGGCAAATCAAGCCAGAAAAGATCGATTTTGGATGTTTTGGATAGAAAAGAACGATTTTTAGACCATAAACACTACCTGAAGAAGCCAAATAAAACTGCCTGAGTAGTTGAAGTAGTTGTGATGAAAAAAAATCTCCATCAATGGCAACGCAATTCGATTTGTTACTGTGGAAATGGAGACTGTTATTTTTTCCCGACGAAACTTTCGATTTGGTATGGGTTTTTGCATTTTGGTGGGGTAGAATTGCCTTTGGGTGCATAATAACATAGGGAGACCGTGGGCATACTTCCCTGGGAAAATGGAAACATTCTGAACGTCAGAAACGCATTGTGACAGATGACGTCACTGCAAAACTTGAAAGAAAATTGTTGATAACCCCCCCTTTAAACCCAATATGTTATATGTTTCTCCTGACCCCCTCCCTCCTTAAAGTCGTATTTTTTCATGCCCCCCCCGCCCCCCACCAAATCCCACCTGCCCTCCCCACCTGATAAAAAAAATGAACGGTTCCTAAAAGTGAAATGTGGCATGCAGCATTTGTATTTTAAGGAAGTTTGCAGAGGGTCGAGGTAAGCAAGTATGGAAACTACGGCGTATGAAACTTCCATACACGTTTTCAAGCATGGAAAATGCTTTGAGGTTACATTGCCCTCCCAACTCGCTACCTTTTATGGATATTACCCATTTTTCACGATTGACTGCATGTTAAGTAATAGGGAGTTTAAGATGCCACGACGGCGACGACAACGAGAACGTCAAAACAGCAATAGCTTGTTTAATGGGCTCCTGTGCATTTTTACGCTTTTCGTGCATTTCTCTGCCGTCACTGCACGACTACGACGGGAAAATGCCTAATTTCACGTTTTATGGAGGACGTAAACAAGCAGCAGCTAAATTTTCTTTCTCTTTCTGAAGTTGAATATGGTTCTTAGGAATTCGGCACAAGAAGAATTCGCTTGCATTTGAAAAATTGTAAGAAAAGATAAATAGAAACTTTAAATTCGATAAATCGACATAAAAGAAGGTTTTAACTGATCGCTTTTTCTTGGCCACTTCTCATGTCAACGCCTCACCTCACCCCTCCCCTACGTTTCTACCGAGTGGGGCTTGGGGACCAGGGGAAACCAAGATGGCGTCTTATGATGATACGATGGTTCCCTCGTTCAACTAACTTCAAATGAAAGCACGGATTCTGCCAGAACACAGCTTGATCTTTCAGTTCAGTGACTGATTATTTTCTGGATCATTTAAATGTGATTAAAAGAAGGTACTCTATTTTGGAACAAGGAGGCTAAGTCCTGAGTGACAAAGCACTGTGGCATGTGGAGAGTTTTGATCATAGTACAGGTAAGATATAATGACGGTTTAAGCTTACTGTGCAATTTTAGAACTAAGGAAACTACATAGTAGTTGCTTAGATAAGAATGTTAACTGTCAGAATGGCTTTGATGAAGAGAGGTCAGTCAGGGAGGAGTGGACAAACAAAATGTTCTTTGTTAGAATTTCATTTTTTTAAAGTCACGTGCCCAATTACATGTAGAGGAATTGCAACCCCTTCTGAAGGAAAATAGGGAGTATTTTTTTAGCAACAAAGGCACTCACACAAGTTCCTAAGGTGCAAGCCTCTAGCGAGGTCGGCCATCAGGGGGTATGATCCCCATGAAACCATGAAATTTTGCAAATTTAGTTTCTCTCAAGTGGCAGTTCCTGCATTTCCACATCATTTTTGTGGTATTCTATAAGGATTTCATTGTTATCACAGATATCTTATGCACAGATAACCAAATTTTCTTACCCTTGGTGCTCCACTGCTCCCGCTTTGCATACGCGAGAGCTCCGCTCTAAACTTAATGTACGTATACAAGACATAAATGCATTAATTTTAGCTGAAGGCAACACTGGTATAGGCTCTGTTATACTTGGTAAACCTTCTGCATAGACTGCTGGCCCTAGGAGCCTGCAGAAAACGCAGTGTTCAATGAGACTGGAAAAGAAAAGGAAAAGAAAGTGTAATACATAACGTTTTACACTTAGATCGCAAAAAACAATGCTTAAGATAAGGAATTTTTCCCCTTGTTTTTGGAGGTTAATGATTAATAGGTAGAATCTGATAAAAATCGGGAGAATAGGAGACAACAAATCAGATCGAGAGGGTTGGAATCTCCGAATACAGCTAATGCAGGAAGTTATGGCAAGCTACAGTGTGGTTATTTTTCCTCTATTCTTGCATGGGCTTCATCCTTTTACCCCTACCAGACCTGGCCGAGTGGTCAGCATGTCAGACTCACGATCTGGATTTGTTCTCGGTTGTCCCTAGTACAAATCCTTGGCCACCTTTGTAAATAGCCAACTGGGTGCCTGCTGGAATTTTGAATCATGCTATGTTATATTTTGAATTATTTGTTTCTAAGCATTTGTGAAGAGTGCGCCTGTAAACTAGCTGGATAGGCTTAGTGCACTTTCCACTATTAACAAGCCTGTAACCCTTTAAGCCCCAATTTCGACATTAAAATTCTCCACATCGATTTCTATACATTTCCTTGAAAAACTTGGTTGACTGGAATGGTTTAAGAACATGCATTCATTTGATTGGGTCATAAGACTCAAAGCAGATATAATTTTATAATGGAATATCCATAAGTGGGTTTAAGAGATCAGTAATCAGCGGAGTTTAAAACTATTGTGCAATTGAATGGAACATTATCACATTATTTTTCAGCCTCCCCTTTTTGCACTTAATAAGTCCTGACATCATGATTTAAAATTTCAAAACCCCAGTTTTCAAGCTTATCAACTATTTCAACATATTAGCTCTAAATGGTCAATGTTTTCCATCTAGGAAAAGTTATTATGCTTTTATTCGTGTTTATAATGTGTTTATATGAATTGCATTGAGTGATGAGATTTTTAACAAAAAAGTTGCTCTCATATCATC